GGGAGCACTTCGCACCTCGACTCCGATGCAATTTTGATGGCAACGGGCGCTGTGGTTTGTGCAAGGCCGTCAGCAAAATCTTCCAGCAAAGCACTCAGATCGCCTTCATTGGAATAAAAATTCCAGGAGCCAGGCTTTCTTGACATGCCCATGGGAAAGCTTTTGCCTTCAGGCTCCAGAAATCGAAAGATGACCCAGGTGTCCACAGGGGTTACCTGTGCTGGACCGAACCGCGTATCAATGCGGAAGGTCTTCTGAGAGCCGCTTTCACATGGATCCTCACACAGCATGATCGCGCCGTGCCGCACCAGAAGTGCGTTCGCGCACTCCTTGAACAGCTGAGGGTCCAGTTTGTTGCCGATGTGCCGGCGAGAGAACGTGTCGACTTCTTCAGCAGTCTTGAACTGGCGTGGTTCAGCAGTTTTGAGATCCCGCGCGCGATGACCGCTGATCGAGCACTCGGCAAAAAGCAAGCCCTTTTGGGTGCAGCTTGGGACGGGTTTGAAGCAATGCTTCATGACTTTCTCCAAGGTTAATGGTGACTCAAGCGATTCAGCTCAACTGGTAAACCAGTGAGAGAACCAAGTGTTCCAAAGCCCTAGCAACGTAGTCGCGGTGAACGCCAGTTGCTGGAGCAGGAGCTTCGTGTACTTGCCGCGAACGGCAAAGACAATCCAGCTGATGTTGCTGGCCAGGAACAAGGCCCAGCCGTAATGGCTAAGGCCGTTGTTCAGAGCCAGCAACAGTGCGCCCGGGATGCCCGTATAGGCGCCCCAGGCTTCAGGGTCTTTGAAGGCCGTCTTCATACGCCATCTTTGAGCTTTTTGAACTTGTGCTGCAGCCCGCTTTTGGTTTGGAGCACACGCAGGCTGGAGCCTGGTCGAGTGACGTCATCGAGTGACAGCGACAGCCGAATCGGCTGTACTGCCGGCATGGAGCGCAACTTGTCCTCTGCTGGAAGCCGATCATGGCTTGCAGGGTCAAGGGTGAAGCCAGCGGGAGGGCTGGCCAGAGCAATCATCTCTTTCATGAGTGGTTCTTTCTATGGACCGGCAGGACGCCGGCGGACAGGTTCAGGTGGATGGTGGTGAGTCGGTATGAAACT